TTTTTTTTTTTTTTTTTTTGACAATCTTGTTTATTTTTTTTTTGGTGTATGTAAAAAATGGAATATGAGATCGTATTTATAGGTAAATTTCGAAATGGTGAATATTACCCCCAATTTACGACCAAAATTTTGTTACTTCGAATAAACTACCACGTGCATGTAATTTGGTAGTTAATTCGAATCTAATTTTTTTGGTCGTAATTCCGTAGTTGAGTAACTTCTACTTTACGACCACATTTTCTTTTGGTCGTAAATTGGAAGTTAACTCACTTCTACTTTACGACCAATCTATGTGGTCCCAAATTTACTTCGGTTTTACCACCAATGTCATTTTCGTTGTTGACTGGTCGTAACTCGGACGTAACATTACGACCACCATTTTGTGGTCGTAACCGTTGGTAGCTACTCAAGCGTTTTCTTGTAGTGTTCATTTTAGGATTAAATATCAGTCTAAACAAAACCAAAAATGTTCCAAACACTACAGCAGGTAATTGCATAATTTTATGGAATAGACTTGAATATAGAATCTTTTATGACCTCGGTAAGGAAATCAAAGTTCGATACAAACTTTATATTAACTGGTTCCAGATTTTGTTTAAAATTTTAAAACCATGCATGGGTGTACCAACCAAGTATTCGGCCCCTCCAATATTTTTTTTTGTTACTAATTAGAAAGTTTTGACGAAAAATACAATACAACTTTGTTTGTTTGCTTGTGAAGAAGCATCTTCTTTTCTTGTGGTCAGAAGTTGTGCAGTTATTAAAAGTCGTTGTTCAAATTGATTTCAATTTGTAAGAAATGTATTTTCTAAATTGCCACGGTTAAATAAAAAAAAAAAAAACATTTTGCCACGCTTTTAGCTTTTAGCGTAAGGAAGGGCGTTTTTGTATTCGTTCGAATTTAATTGCGATTTTTCGGGTTTTCATATTTATGAATTTAGTTTTATAGTTCATATTCGGGTTTTATAAATTTTCAGGCCGGGTATGATAACACTTCGGGTTTGGTTCGAACTGAAATAACCATAATACAATTCAAAACCAAATAATGAAACAAAATTTCATATCAAATCTCAAAAATAATAATTAAACTTGATTTCAATGTAATAAACCGTGAAATATAAAAAGAATTTTGAAACTAATAATAATAGAACAAATAATATCTAGAATATAAAATTAAAAACATCCCATCGCTGAGGCAAGCAACAAATTTAACCTTTTTATCATCTGATTTGAATTTCCAAAATCTATAATAAATGATAGTATAATACCAAAGATAATAACATATAACTTTAGGAAAGTTATATAAATCACGATATGTATTAAAATACATAATATATATATCATATGACATACTATATATGTATATATGTGTAGTTTGGTTAAGTTCAGATCTATGTTTAGCTTTAGAATTTTTGAACCCAAACCAAGGTCCAGCGTAATATGAAACTGGTCCCATTCGGGTACTCGAAGGAATCCAAAACCAATCCATACCACTAACCTTCGGTTCGTGTTCGGGTATTATTCCCAACCTTATCCACCCCTAGCTTAACGTATAAATGTATAATTAATTAAGTTTTGTACTTTAAATATACTATTTTATTCCTCCTGAGATTTGGTCATTCTTTGGGCTGGCAATATATTTAATGTCGGATTATGAGGTAGGTCCCAAAATTTGACCACTTGATTTTGTTTAATGATATTGATCACAGCTGCCTCATATTTGGATTTAATATCAGTCTTAATAAAAACCATATAGAAAAGAAAGAACAGTCTTGTCATGTAGACCACAAAGAGATTTAATAAATTCAACAAAATTGTCTTCTAGACCTCAAAAATAATTTAATAAATCCAGTAAAACTCGTTTTCGCACGTTCAATTACGTGAAACAATTTTCAAATTTCCAATACTTGAGGGTATTCGCGATTCTTGTTGACTTCTATTTCTTTATAAACAACCATCATTCGTCCAGATTAAAAGTTACTTTTCTTGCAAGCAACCCACAGTTAGTTTAGGACATTGAATCAACATAGACTTGGTCTAGGTTTTTGCTTGAGGATGAGAATTTTCGAACTTTTTTATTTATAATCACTAATTTTTTTTAAAAAAAAATATCATTGATATGCCAATTATTTATTGTGTCCACCACTTTCAGGTCTTGGCTAGCAAAACCAAGATTTACATGGTCCTTGAATGTGTCACTGGAGGAGACTTATTTGACAGAATTGTAAGATTCATGTAGTGCTATAGTGACATTTTTGTTGGCTAACAACATGTTATGATCATTATCAGGTCTCCAAAGGAAAGCTTTCAGAAACAGAAGGAAGAAAAATGTTTCAGCAGTTGATTGATGGAATCAGCTACTGTCATAACAAGGGAATTTTTCACAGGGATCTCAAGGTCTGTGTTTACATGTTTTACAATAAGCTTCAAACTTTGTCTGTAGTCTTAGATATCTGAGGTTCTGTTATGCAGCTAGAGAATGTTCTTCTTGATGAAAATGGGCACATTAAGATCACTGATTTTGGCCTTAGTGCCGTGTCTCAACATTTTAAGGTATTTTCCAACTATCTTTAATTAAACTATAGATAAATCAGTAGAAAATAAATCATTTTGGGGTTTGACATGTCAGGAAGATGGATTGCTACATACAACCTGTGGTAGTCCTAACTATGTCGCGCCTGAGGTTCTAGCCAACAAGGGCTATGATGGCGGAGCATCAGATATATGGTCGTGTGGAGTAATCTTGTATGTTATTCTTACTGGTTGTCTCCCTTTTGATGATACAAACCTAGCCGTGCTTTGCCGGAAGGTACTGCTTTTGTTTATTTCCTCTGTTTAGTTAATGTTTTGAAGAAACAGAAGTCAAAGATATTTGCCTTTTCAGATATCCAAAGGTGACCCTCCAATACCTAGATGGTTATCACTGGGTGCTAAAACCATGATTAAGAGAATGCTTGATCCAAATCCAGTCACGAGGATGACAATCACAGGTATTAAAGCCAATGATTGGTTCAGACACGACTACTTCCCTTCCAGTTGTGATAGTGAAGTTGATGAAGAAGATGTAAGAATCTGTTGTGTCTCATCATGTTGGTGTTCCTATGAACTTAGATCAATGTGCATTATCATTCTCAAAGGCTTGCCTTTTTGGTTATTATAATGAAGGTGTCGGAAGAAGATAAGAGCCATGATTCACCAACCGTCATCAACGCCTTTCAGCTGATAGGAATGTCACCATTTCTAGACCTCTCCGGTTTGTTTGATACAGAGGTAAACAATACATTCTTGCTTGTCCTCATTTACTCTGATTCAAGATTGTTGTTTGCTCACACCAAAGTGTGTTTCACTTTGTGCAACTTACTCAGACAGTATCAGAGAGACAGATAAGATTCATGTCAAATATGTTAGCCACTGATGTTTTGGAGAAACTAATAACAATCTTGATGGAGATGGGTTTCTACGTACAGAAGAAACACACAATGGTGAGAAAAGTCTCTTCTTGCTCTCTGTCATATCTGCTGGTACTTGGGATGTTGAAAGTAATTTAAGTGGTGTGAGAACTGATGTTGCTTCAGTTAAAAGCAATCGGAGAAGAGAGTACCCGAAAAGAGCAATGCGGATTATCATTAACGGCTGAGGTATTCGAGATAATCCCATCGCTGAATGTGGTTGAACTAAGAAAATCATATGGCGATTCATCTCAATATAAACAGGTAATATAATCTTCTTGTGACAATTATTTGGCCCCTCTATGTATATCTTTCTACAATCGTGACCTAAAACAGCTTATTGTTTTTTTTTGGGTTTGTGCAGTTGTGCGAGAGATTACTAAACAAATTGGACGCATCATCCCAAATATAAAAGCAGAAAAAAATGTTGTGATAGAGGATCTATATTCTATGTAAATAAAAAGCTAAATAAAAACAGATTTATATATGATGCTGAGTTCATGAAAATAACAGTAACTAAGCTTGGATTTTGACAATGAGAACATGCATGTTCCTTTAAAACAAGTGAACATGAAGAAGCAAATCACCCACCATCTCCCCAACACACACAGCAAAAGAAGAGAAGCTTAATACTAGGATATTACTCAAAAGTTATATTAGTTGGATGATCTTACTCGGAAGTTCCAAAACAACAACGCAGCTAGAGAGAGAGAGAGAGAGAGAGTCTGAAACTAAGACAGATGATATTATCAAACTAAGAGGAGACTAAGAGGAGTTCATGTTATATCTCTACCACCATATTTGTTAGCTCATCCTGCAAAAAAGAAAAGAAGAAAAACGTTAGAAGTTATGTTAGGAGAGATACAATTACAAGTAGAAAAAATCTATTAGATGACTATACCGGTACTAATGAGGAGGGATAGGTCCACCCCCATTGATCATCGTAGCAGCAGCCCTCTCAGGATCTTCCGAAGTCCAAAGCCAAGTGACGTTGGCACAGTCGCAGAAGCTTGATGCCGAGCTTTCAGGTACGGCCAACATCATAAAAACATTGCTTCGTCTCCATTCGTTAATGGGATGAATCAGGTCATAGTTTCCAGAAATGACCAAAATGTTAGTCCTCATCTTTAAAACTCTCAGGGTGAGCTCTATAACCAACTTCAAAGCAGTTTGATCTGAAAAGAAAAAACAATTTCAAAAGTTATGATCCAAATATACTAGTCCGTGAGTGAACAACATTGCAAAAACACATGTCAGGTACTTGTAAAGAAACTAAACGAGACGAGACCCCAATTGTGGAAACAAGCTTATCATCCATCACATCAAAATTCAAAGCAAAGCAAGAAAGATAATCGAATTGTGTTTACCTTGTGGGTCTGGAGTACGAGGGTTATGTTGTTGGACAGGTGAGAGTTGGAAGTCATGGGGGAGCATGGTAATGGCTTGATGTTTAGCCCCCGTGGCATGCCCAACTGCAATCACTTTCCCTTGTATGAAGAAATCAGGATTGCATTTTTTGAGGGCAGTTTCAATGCTGGCCTTGAGGGTACGAAGATCGTAGCCCTCAGGGATCCAAGCATACTGGTAGTCCCAGATGACTGTAACACCACGCAGCATAGTGGAGGAGGAGCAACTGTGAAAAGATCAAAGATAGCTTTGATTTTCTCAACAAAAAGGAAGCCATTTTAATCTCACAAAAGAAGCCTAGATACAATAATCGTAAGTCGAATCTAGAAACCCTAAAGTGCGAGAAGTCAGATCTGAACTGAATCAATCAAACCCTAAGATAATCAAAACAGAAACCAGTAACTATATCTCTTGGACTCTAGCGGATTTCAACAGAGATAAGTAAGCCGCACAAAGCAGAAACGCGAAAGAGTGCGAAGAAGAGAATCAAACGGAACAAAGAATAATCGAAGATCTGACCTTAAAGCGACCTCGAAGACGATAAGTAAGCAGAGTGTGCTGCACAGCCACTACGAAGAAGTATCCGCTTTTTAGTTTTCTCTTCCTTTCTATATTTTTTTTCTTTTTTGTTTTCATCAAACGGCTTTACGTTCTACGTATCTTATTTTAAATTGTTTATTTCACAATAACCTTAAAAATAGTTCCATGTTTTCAAATAACAAAATAAATATTACAAGATAGCCATCAGTGCTTCAAAAAAGGGTGTTTCTTTCTTCAAGATGTTTAACAAGTGCACTAATCTTGTAATGTATGATGTGCTTCACGTTAGCCTAGTTAAGGAGTTTGATCGTGAGCTCAAAGATGGGGGAAGCTCGACCACTCTCCTCAAGTAAATGGAGCGTTTATGATAATAAGCTGGAGCCTGGAGTCAGCAACGAACCAACTGACGCAGAAGAAAACGTCCAAATGGCTTCATGTGAGATTGTGAGTCTATGTCTACATCGGTTGAGAGTTTTTTCTTCGGCAACAAGAGTATGAACCAAGCCTAAAACCCCTGGTTTTAGAATAGTTAATCCGGTACTGCAAAAACTTTTTGGTTATGACTTTTGTTTATAGCAATGTCAAACCAAGAGCTTTTCTTGCTTGAACGCTCTAAACAGGTAAGTTACAAGTGTATTCCACTTGGGTCTTTGGTGCTACATCTCTAGATACACACACTGTGTTTCTTTCTTTTTCAGGTTCTTCATCAGGCTCTGGAAATTGGTACTCCAACCGCAGCTAATTTAAAGGGACAGGTAACACAATGCATGTACCATCTTGTCCTGACATTCTTATGAGGCGCCTTGACCTCGAAACTTAACAGACGGATCAAATGGGACACGTTGTGGACGACCTAGACACTAATTCGAATCTGAGTTCTGATTAGTGGTTGGTATTATTATATCATCATTCATTTCAACTATGACCTTTTGTGTAAGTTGTATAACAAGTTCTAACTAACATTTTTCTTTTCATACAAATCTGTATATTCAACTGATTCCTCTTATATACCTGATTCCTCTTATATACCTGATTCAAATCCGATACAAATAGAAGAAGAAATGTAAAATTCAAATCAAATCAAGGGGGTTACACATTCAGAAGTCAAGAACTGTTTGTATCATAAAGACCAAGAGGGGGTCCCTGAGCTAATATGTGGTGAAAAAAACATTTATAACTTTCAGAGACCTTACAAATATTTTTGCCAATTCTGTGTGTTTTTTTTTAATGTTGTTATCCAGAGGTAAAATTCTATTTAGAAAATGTTTGAATTCCAAAACAGATAAAAGGACATTTTCACCTGAGAAGTGAGACAGCATATGTGTCTGTCTCAGTCTCATCTGTACGTTGCTCAGACAGCAGTGTGGCTTCCGAGCTGTGTCCGCCCGATGTGTGACAACCGTGAAGACGTTATCAAAGGAGCTTCCTCATCATTGAGCTCTACTCCTCCTCGGGGGCTCTCACCATCCAACGACCTCTTCTCCTTCCAATCCTGCTCAATTATTTTGTATCATATCAATACTCACTACCCCCACAGAGAGCATCGTCATTAAACAGAAAAATTGACTGTACCTTTGTGATTCGATCTGGGAGGCTATCAGTGATTGGTTGAGTCGCTTTCACATCCTTGATTTTTATGTAATTGTACATTACGACCCCACATAGGGCTGCATCAAAAAGAAGAAATAAAATTAAAACAAATGCACATGAGAATTTATGAGTTTTATCCAATTTGTTACAAGAAGAAGGGACAAACCTATTGCGTATCCAATAATGTTCAGACCAGTGATTGTGGACTCGGGAAATATGACAGTGGAGAGGGCTATGAGAATCCAGTCTTTGAGAACGCCAGCAACCCTCATGGTTACTGCTCCTGTTCGTCCGATTACTAAGAATATGGAGAAGTTCAAGGCAAGTGCGCACAGAGCGTTTGAGAAAAATATCCAGAAGTTGAATTGGATCTGCGAGACTTCTATGTTCGGTTTCTCCAGTACATACCAAGGTAAGGACAGGAAAACAAAGCTGCACAGAATCAAGGATAAAAACTACATGTTTAATGTGTAGCAAAGGAGTTCTTTGAATCTTAGCAAACAAAAGACCTACAAGTCAAATCATGTCTATGAAGTTCTAGAACTGGATACAAGTTTCTATCTTAAGCTGATATTCATATGAACTGTGTCAGGAGGTTTCGGAAGATTGTGTACCTGCAGGGAGCTATATAGTATAAGCTTGTGACCGGGTTTAATATCAAGCCCTTTTTCTGAAGAAGAACTTGAGTTAGCACCAGTCTTAGTGCTTCAGCAAATATCCCCATGACCTGGTAGACCGTCCCAATTATGTTGAAATTAATTTCTCCATAGGAGGATATCACAACTCCAACACTGACGAGCAGCATGTTCATGAACACGTCGCACCTTGCGTTGTCAGTGCCACAAACAACGGCCATGATAAATGTTGCTACAGGCACTGTCATTCCATATTCACGTGGTAATAAGCTTTGCAATATGATCAAAGATTCATGTACTAATTAATATAGGCTTTGAGCCAAAAGAAAGTTTACATACTTAGTGCTTTGAGCATCTGTATGAAGGCAACTGAAATGTGCAAATATGCAGTGTTTCCAAACCTGTTACAGCGAGTAAACAGAATATTTAAGAGACAATTCAAAGAGGATGTATGAAAATCAATGAAGAATTCAGCATTTGATATTTACTGTACTAGAGAAAAAGAACATGTTAAATCTAGTACGTCCCACTGTATATGGAGCAAAGACATTACCAGAGGCTGGATGCAAAGAATGCGCTAATAGGCACCACACAGGTCACGTATCTGGAATCCAGGAAAACATGTTATAAAAGGAAAGAGATCATGGAAATTACATAAGAAACAGAGGAAAGAATATAGTAAGGTGGCTTACATTTCGAATGTCATTTTAACAGGAGAGACAACCTACATTGTAGAAGAAGATACACTTATTACTTGACAATTATAAGAAGGCCACATATACCAAACAAATGGAGATATGTAACGGAAGTGTAAATGACTTACAAGTAAGAGTATAAATTACCTTGAATACTCGAATAAGAAGGAAGGCGACAAATCCACAGAATCCCATATGGATCATAGTCAATGTAATAGGAAGTGGAAAGTTGAAGTATTTGGGAGATAGAACCCACTGAAAATCAGAATAGATAAAAATTAAAGTCAGCCTCTAGGATGTTAAAACAAAAACATGAAATGGATAATCATCAGTAACAAAGACTATGAAAGAAAAACTCTGTAGCACAAAGGTATTGGGCAATGGTTTCATCTCATATGCACAATATTATAATCCAAATCCCAATTCTAGTATCAGAGATACAGAATCTACATAAAAGAGATTTGCTACTACATACTAAAGGAGCATGTCCGTATCTAAAGATGAAGATGATTTCACTAAAACAACATTTCGAATCAAACCTCAAAGTAATAGTTCCAAGGATACAATCTATGACATGTAAAATCCAACAGATAGAGAGAGACTCGTTACAAGGTATGAAAAGGAAAGGAGCGTGTGAAAGTGAGGACCTTGTTGTAAAGAATGACTCCAGAGGAGAGTAGAACGTAGATGAGTAAGTAGATATAGGTTAGTACAAGCGTCTTGTTTATCATCTTTGCCATCTCAAAAGCAAAGCTAATAAACCACCCGTAGATGCTAGTTGTTCGATAGTCACAACAACACCAAGTAGATCGAACAAATTCAACACAGCTGTTCGATACACTCAAGTATCCCGCGCGCAACAGATTCCATGGAAACGCAAATCTGAAATCAAAATTCCAAAATCAAACAAGTATAAGTTCCATCTAGCATTTCAGATTTAGCTCACCAAAAAAAGGGAGAAATCGAGAGATCATTATCAGATCCGAGGAAACGCAAGTGTAGACATAAGGAGATAGAGGTAGCAATACCTCGATATGATATGATAATCCGAGAAAAGAAAAAATAGAATCTCGGATTTGGAAGAATAGCGCGAATCTAGTTTAGCATTAGCGAAGGAGACTTTGGATTGACTTCAGTCTTCCCAGGATTCCGGAGGGAAGAAGATGATGAACGAGTAACAGCAAGACTTACTCAGCGACTTATAATTTAGTCAGAGATACCACTGTGTAATGCTTGCTTCGTTCCAAATCGGAAGAAGATGTAGAAGAGAGATTTACAACTTTTTATTAATTATCACCGTGTTAATAAGAGGATTATTTTAAAATTAGCAAAAACAAATAACGGTGGAGATGAATCAATCTAACGGCTGTCGTTCCATCTCCTGGACGGGTGCTTGTTTTGCATTTAGTGAATGGGGCCCACATACGATGTTCTTTTTTTTTTTTTGTCAACCATTTCCCACATACGATGTTCCAAATCTCAATTTCTAAATTTGGAGATTTGATACTTTTCTTTCTCTTTTTTTTTTTTTTCCATTTTTGTTTTTGTTTTTTATAGTACTAAGAGAATCTATTAGAAATTAAATTGGGCAATTCTCTCAAATAGCTATCTTTTAAGTTTTTATCACAAAAATAGATCTCAAAATTAAAATGACTAAAATAACACTTTTTATTTTGAAAATTTTAAGTTTTTTTAATTTTTTAAATTCGAAACCCTATCCCCAAAACTCCACTACTTAACTTTAAACAAAAAAAGGCTAGGATTACTTAACCCAAAGGGTATAAATGTATATTTAATAAAACATTTAAGTGATATTTTAGTCATTTTAATTGTTAAGGTCTATATTTGTGATAAAAACTTTTAAGGTCTGTTCTAGTCATTTTCTCAATTAAATTTGTATGAAGTTTGAAAATTTTAAGAGTTAGTAGATTTTTTAAGGGAAAATAGCATTAAAAACCTTCAAATGTGGCACTCTTTAGCACATTAAATCTTGACGGTGTTTCTACAACCTTGAACTTATTTAGCTAGCATATTAAACATTCAATGCTTTTGTATCATAAAAAATCTTTAACTTGGTTTACTTGTCCATTAAGTATAAAATGTGACCTCGTAACCTGTAATAGTAAGTGACGTGTTGGTTTTTTATTTATTTAAATAACAAATGCAATTAACAATAAATAACAATAAAAATTAGAAATTACAGAAAAAATTCAAAATTTGATTTTAGTTAAAATAAAAAAATATTCTTAAATTTTTTGATTTTTTTTAAAAAGCATTTTTTTGCATTAAAAATAGTCTTTTAAATATAGAAAAATTCAAAAAAATCTTAATTTTAAAAAATCATTTATTTTCTTGAAAAATTAAAAAGAGTTTTTATTTTTATTGTAAATTCAACTTTGTGACAGTATATATATTTTTATTTTAAAAAATTATACAAATCTCTAAAATATTATTTAAAAAAGAAAATAATTTTGATATACCACCATTAAAGTAAGACTTTTCGTCATATCATCACTATTAATAACATTTTGTATGTTTTAAAGCATTTAGTTTTGATATGTTAGCATCTTCGAACAGTGATAATTTCTGATACACGGATAACAATGATTTTTGATACTATTGTCATTATCTCTATAACAAAAAATGTTACTCTTAATTATGATAGGACGAAGAGTGTTCATGTTATTGATGATAATGTTTAAATTTTTTAAATTTTTATGAAAATATTTCATAACTTTTTATGATTTTCTTATAAAAACTATATTCTTTTTTTTTTTGTAAAACTTGCATTTAAAAATAAATATTTTTTTTTTAAAAACTATTTTGATACTGTTGTCATTATCGATATAACCAGTGTTACTTTTAATTATGATATGACGAAGAGTGTTCATGTTAATGATGATAATGTTTATTTTTTTTTAATTTTTATGCAAATGTATATAAATTTTTATGATTTTTTTTAAAGCTATTCTTTTATCCTGCAAAACTTTCATTTAAAAAAGTAAAATTTTAAGAAAATATCATAATTTTTATTAAATTCAGTTTTAGAATTTTTCTGTAATGTTCTAATTTTTATATATGTTTCTTATTGCTAGTTATTGTTAATTGTATTTGTTAACTAAATAAAAATAAAAAAATACGTCACCTACTATTATAGGTTACCAGATCACAATTTTGACTTGATGAAAAAGTAAGCCAAGTTGAAGGTTTTTTATGATACAAAAACCACGTTGAATCTTATTATATAAAGTTTGGTTCTTCAAAGTTACTAATTAATAAGATTGCGACACATGACAATTATATATTATGATTGTGACATGTGTTAAACTATTTCATAACTAATATATATATAGATAACAAAACGGATTTTTTTAAAAACAATTAGAAATATTATGTAATAAAATTTTTAAAACCCTAAATAAATGATATTTACAAATACAATATTTGATAATAATTTTCCATTTAATATTGTGGCATGTATTAAAATTCTCATTATTAAAAATATATACTAAGAGAATAAAAAATAATTTCGAAGATATTAATAATGAAATATGTTTTATGTTCTTTTATGCTTTAACTGGTGATGATTTTTATTGTTGTTATATTTGCCATGCTGTCGTATGTTAGTTATTTTCATAGTTATACTTAGGTATTTGTATGTAATATAGATGTCTTGATATTGTACGTAAGTTAATATGCCTATTATGCTTATGTGTGTTTATTTTATAGACGCTATAAAATTAATTATGCTGTGTTTTTTTGAATTTTAAATTACTTATGTTGTTTTAGTTAAGTTAATGTGAATGCCATTTGTTACCTTTATATACCATTTTGCTTATGTCTGATTGTTCAATTATTTAATTAAAAACCCTAACTGTAAAAGTATTAGTGAAACGAATTGTAAAATAGTAGTTAATAAAATATTTAATAGTATTGAAATAATTATCTGATAGTAATCTAATTTTCTGTAATTATAAATAGAAGATAATTGTAAATGACTGTATGATAGTAATCTTTATTTTCTAAAATCTTAAACAAAAATGTAAAATAGTATTTAATAGTATTTCTGTTTTTAAGTTATAAATAAATAAGTTTATAAACTATAATGTTTTCTTTTTCAAAATAAAAAGAAAAGAAAAATTTAAAAATTATTTAATAGTAATTTAAAACGTAAATATTTTGATGATAAACATGATACTAAAATAATTTAATTAACTAAAAAAAATCGAAAATATGATATTGTCGTGATTGGTCTTTATATTGGTATTTGTATGTGTTTGTTCATACAAAAACAAACACATGTTTGGTATATTTTTGTGTTTGATCATAAAAAGTAGATTATTATTATTATCAACGTAAATATTTTTTATGTGTTTAGTCAAAAAGAAATCTTGTTTCATCGTCATCTTATTACATATGTGTTTTAATATAATATATTTCTAATCTATTTTAGTAAACTATTGTTATGAAAATATATCATTAAAATAAATTTAGAAAATTATTTTATAACAAAAAAATTTAATAAAATGGCCTAATTGTTAATAGTAGAAAATGAGAAACAAGTAATTTGAAAATAATTATAAATTAAGTATAGGAAAAATTACAAATTCAAAAATTGAAAAAAACTAAAGAAATTGTTTGAAATAAAATAACTTGAATACCATTTTAATACTACATAAAAACCCCATAACATCTGAAATTAGGATTTAGTGTGTAGAGTTTATATTTAAGGGATGAAACTAAGTTTATAAAATTATATAAAAATTACAATGATATATATGATATTAAATATCATATACTTCAAATGAATTTAAAAGAAGTTCTTAATTACCTCTAAGATTGTCTTTTTCAACCTTATTACAATATATAATAAAATAATTTCTTTAATTAATTTTAAGATTTATCATCACAAATTAAGAAGTGACAATTGTATGATATTGTGATTGACCTTATTTAACTTTCAATTTTTTTATTTCACTCTAATACTTAATTCGAACGGGATTTGGTTTAAAGTTTTATGTATGAATATTTTCTCTGTTATTAGATACAAAGTTAAAAAAATTCACTTATGTGCCGTGATTATTAAAATACAATTATTTACCAATATTTAAGTGGGTAAACAATTTCTAAATTCTAAAATAAATCTCACACAACATATACAAAAATAATCCTAAAGTTATTTTATGTCCTTTGTAAAATTAAAACATCAAATAAAATATGTGCTTATTAAAATATAAATACTAATCAGAACTTTTATAGAAAAACGAATTCTTAGGGGGTGTTAGTGGAATTAAATTCATAAAGATTCTTAGAATTTTCAAATCTTGTGTTATTGGTTTATTGATTCTTACATTTTAGTTAAAGTTTAGTGTTATTGGTTTGATGATTTTGTAATTCTATACAAAATGCCTTGTTATTCAAAAAGTTATATTTTAATGATTCTTCAAATCTATTAAAGTAGGTGTTATTGGAAGTTATATTCTTAATATTTTAACTCACGTAACAAGATTTTGAGAATACTCCATATATCCATTGATTCTTAAAATAATTATAATACTTTACTTTAATATATTTTCACAATATACAAAATTCTCTACGACTATTTCCAAATTTAACACATTTATCAATTCTTAAAATCAACAAACTCAATAGAAATCTAAGTCTCAATAACACCCCATTAATTTCTAAAATAAATCTCACACAACATACGCAAAAAATCATAAAACTATAAATTGAATTATTATTTTTATATTTTATAAATATTAAAACATTAAATATAACCCGTGCAACGCATGGGCTCATATCTAGTGTTTAATATGCTAGTTAAATAAGTTCAAGGTTTAAAGTGCTAGTAAGTGTCACTTTGAAGGTTTTTTATGCGATTTCCCCAATTTTAAAAAGTTAAAGTAAATTTGATGAATTCTTAACCAATATATTGTATAAATTATCATTGATTATTATTGATTATCATAGATATACTCTTCTCTCCCAATTTCCCCAATTTTTTCTATTAATTGTTTTAAAAAAAAATTCTTTCATGAAATATAACTATCTGATAGTAAAATAAAAATATTGGTTTTGTAATATTTTGACATTTTGATCTTTCTAGTTTGATTTTTGTTATGATTTTTTAAAGATAAACCTAAAAAGTTATATTTCATGAAAACTTTGTTATTGTTTATATTTTTTTTTTAAATTACCTTTCACTTTTCAATAAAAATATAAAAAAAAAAATTTTGTGTTTGTATATTTATGTTTTTTATATAGATTTTAGGGAAATTACTT